GCAGAGGGAGAAAATGCAGATGCTCCAGAAAGAGGCAGCAGAGGGAAAAGCTTTGCAGGAGGCTCTCACTCGTATGATGACCACCATCCTGTCAGGGAAGGAGAGAGAAGTGCAGCTGTTCCAGGAACAGATCCGAGTGCTGGTACAGCAGAGAGAAGCGCATCTCAGTACTTTCGATCAGGTTATTAAGGCCATAGCAGAGAAAAACCAGACCACGGAATCCCAGCAAGAACAGATCCAGGAGCTGGAGAAGCAGCAAGAAAAGCAAAGGATTGCTGCCAGTAAAATGAGCCAGGAGCTGGAAGAAAGGGAGCGGGAGATCAGATCCCAGCAAGGACTGATAGCAGAGCTGGAGAAGCAGCAAGAGTTGCAGAGGACTGCTCTCAGCAAGATGAGCAAAGAGCTGGAGGAGAGGGACCGGGAGATCAGATCCCAGCAAGAACAGATAAGGGATCTGGAGCACGTGAAAGAAAGCGGAAGTGTGAGGGAAAAAAAGGTAGAGCTTGTGTCTCTGACTCGGCGGATCCAAGAACTGGAAGTGTTCCTTCGAGAGCAGAAGGAGTTAGAAGGTAAGCGGGCCAAGAGTCTAGAGCAGGATCTAGACAAAATGAGCCAACTGTTGAAAGAGAACCATTTGGAGTTCCTCAAGCAGACAGAGCAAATGAACATGCTCCAGGTTCGTGAGGAAAGCCTGAATGTAGCACTAACATCGTGCCAGAAGCAAGTGAAGGTGCTTGAGGAAATGGTGAAGAAGAGAGAGGAAGACTATGTGACTCTCATGCAAAAACTCCAGTGCCAAGAACAAGAACTGAAGACCTTGGAGAATGTCCAGCTTAGGCTGAGGGATAAGACTGATGAGGTTAGACAGCACCGAGAGCAAGAGAAGCTCCTGGAAGAAGCCTTGCGTGATGAGAGGGAACAAAAGACCAAGGCTCAAGGTGAGCAACAAGAGTTAGAAGAGGAAATAAGAGGTCTTCGGGAAGCTCTCCAGCATGTTCTGCAGACTCTGACAAAGAAAGATGAAGAGATCAAGTACCAGAGGGACAGAATCAGGTATTTAGAGAAGACTCAGAGAGAGAGAGAAGAAAAGCTTAGGAGGCAGAGTGAGCTGGTGAAACCATTAATACCAGCTTTGCAATGGAGAGTTGAAGGGGAGACCCAAGGAAAACCAATGCAGAAACTCCAAACCTGGGAGGAAAAGGAAGCAGAGAAGAGGAGAGTTCTCCAGGAGAGAGAATGGAGGAGACTGACGAGAGATTGCGGTGGTCAGTCGCTGCCAGATGCGTGTGGGTTTTCTCTGCCTGAGTCTACCCAGCACAAGGCACCTGCTTCTGGACAGGTGAGAAGAGAATCTGACTCGGTGGGAGGAGGCTCTGACTGTACACAGGAACGATGGCAAATCCCAGTCGCTGCAGCCGCGGGATAGACCTAAGAGAAGTTGAATGTAGACCATGGCCCTGACCAAACCGGAGACCAAAAAGAAATGCTTGTGTTTCCTTTGCAGGAGGAGTCCCAGGCGTGCTGCCGTGGTCAACTGGCCGAGTTGCAGGAGCAGGTGAGGAGCAGGAAAGCTCTCGTCAAAAGCCGCTGGGGCTGTACTGGTCGGCACAACTTTGCACGCTGCTACAGCCCGAGGGGGGGTTGGCCTT